CAAACTGTCCTGTTTACCCAGCAAGTAGGCACGAGTCATAAAATAAATGGCAGTAAACGCCAGAGCAGGAAGACTCACAGAGACCCTCTGTCAACAGACAGAGAGAGAGACTTTTCACCTCTCAGGGAACCTCCCCCCCAACGCCCCTCCTGGCTCCTGGACACCATGATGGAAACCATCTTCCTATCAAATGGAATATATTAGGAACACATAAATGCATTCCTTGTATCATGAATCAAATGCAAGAAAAACGGCCAGAGCGGAAAACACACACTAACCAGCATTAACGGAGTCCACGGATTTCCAATCACAAGCAAAGAAACCTGATCTTGCCCTGGAAACATCACTTCAGTTCGATCTCCAGCAGGCTTTTAGAATAGTGAAATTATGTATGTTTGCAAAACCCCCTAAGGGATCTGGTAACTACAGGCTGGGATGGATGACCTGGCTCTCCCCTCCCACTTCGCCTTTCCACGTAGGGAGGGGAGGACCTACAGGAGGTGAGTTTCCTAAAAGCTGGAAGCCAGGACAACCAGAGGATCTGCAGATTTCCTGTGCAGACCCCCTTCCATCAGCACAAAGCCCCGGGCACAAGGACAATGACCAGAGAGGATGCGTACGTGTGTGTGTGTGTGTGTGCACACCTGCGTGTGCGCCTGCGTGCGTGTGATGGGGCGGAGGGGTAGGAGGTGGGCTACTCTACTCCCATGGCCTCCAGGCTGCTTTTAAAAAATTGGGGCGACTTCCCAGTTTTCACCACAAAGTCTGCCATAAATAAATTCCAGACCACAAACAAATGACAGAAAGCGTGTAGGAAAAGTAATGATTGATGGGGACCCCAGGGGCCTGGGCGGAGGGGAGGGCCCGGAGCGGGGACAACCTAAAGGGACCCCGACTGGGGCTGGCTCAGACTCGGCTTGGAGGAGCCCCACCTCGAAAAGGGGCGGCAGCTGGCCGGTCGGGCCAAGATGAGGTGGCTGGGGAAACATGTGAGTAATGACACTTCCTCTGTTTGTCTCAGCTTTCGGTTGCCTGGGACTACCAGACCACAGATTCAGGGCTGGCCTGCCAAAAATAAGAGATGACAGGGCTGTGCGGAACATCACGAAAAAATAAAAGTCGCACCACAAGGCTTTCACGTGCAAAGACTGGGTCTGTCAGTTTTCCTTCCTCCTGGCTCCTTGCTGGGGAGGGAATCTGACTAGAAACTCAAGGACTTGCAGCTTCCTAATTAGACAGCGATGGAAACACACATACTTATGTACATAATGTGAAGAATGATGTCAAAATGCTCCAGCCCAAGCCCCAAGGTCATTGCCAAGAATAGGAAAGAACAAGGAGCAACTTCATCCCACAGGGTAGTGTTTACATTCCTGCTGAAGTCGATAATCAGACCAACCCTGTGACCTGATGGCAATAAGCTTTCTCTGAAAACACGGCCTGAAACAGCGGGACGCTCACACCCTCTGCAAGTCAGGACGCCATCTGCGGACGCACACCTGACGACACGACAGAGACAAAAGCGCCCAGGGCAAGCGAGAACCGGCGGGAACCCGGGGCTCTAATTAGCAAAGCGAACAACCCTTCCCCCCGTGTACACAGCTGCTGCGGCCCGGGCTCACCGCGCCTGGCAAAGCACAGCCGGCGCTCAGACCGGAGCTCAGCCCAGAAACAAAGCACGAGGAATCTGGCCTCTAATCTGTTTATTCCAACGTTGCACAATTCTCCTTGCGTCCCCTCCAAATAAAGGCGGGCAGGGAAGGAAGAGTTGGTGATGTCATATGTTGACCGGGACCTATCGAGAGCCGACATAATTGACGGGTGTTTTCCTCCTAGAAACCTGGACTGGATTCAAAAACACAGCATAACATCTCTGGACTCTGAAGCACGGCCCTTGTACCACGATGCGCTCCCCATCGCGGGCTGAGGGCTGGCTGTTCAATGGGCCCTTTTACCCCACAGCTGATTAATAAGACTGACTAACAGCCAGTGTATCTGGACAACAAGGTTTAAGCCCTATTAGGGACTCCGTTGTTCGGGGAGCCTTCATTACACTTTGCAACGGTGGGGACAGTGGGGCGTTCAGGTTCTACACAAATACCACCCGCACAGCCATACACAAATTCAAACACTTCCTCGCATTATGTTCTCTTCCTTCCCAGGAATGACAGGGGCAAGAGATAATAGTCCAGATGAAAAGGATAGCTCCAAGGGAACGTGCTTTTTATAAAATCCCTTTTAAGTGCAAGAGCACTTAAACACCAAATACTTGGGAAACCAGAAAGAATTGAGGAAAGAAACAAAACTTTCTGTTCACCCAGCATCCAAAGAAAATCACTACTCACATGCTGGGGTCTGCCTCTGCACTCTTTTTTCCTACCCACTTATTCACCCACACATACATTCTTTGTGAAAGCAGTGTCATATCACAGTATGTAAATTATACTTCAATTTTAAAGCTCTTTTAAAAAAGAAAAGTGGAATCAAATCGGACACAGTGATCAAGCCCTACCTTGTTTTTCCATCAATGTACTACAAACATATTCATATTAATAAATATTTCCCACAATGGTTTTTAATGGCTACGTACTATTTTGTCCTAGAGGTGCCAAAAGGCACTTAACCAATCACCTATTTTGGCCATTTAGGTTGTTTCTAATTTTTTCTCATCATAAGTAACATTACAGTGGACATCTTTAGAACTAAATGTTTGCACATAGATTATTCTGGGTCAAGAAGTATGAGTATTTTTTCTTCATAAATTTTTAAAGCTCTTGTCAGATTTTTGTCTTACTGCCCTCCAGAAAGGCCATGCCAGTGGAAACACCTTTCGGCAGTCCATGAGTGCCCATTTCACTGCAGTAATGGGTATTAGAACTCCTTTTAATATTTGAAAATTTAGTAGACAAAAATTTAGCTACAACAGACTAACAATTGTTCTCTCACACATTTCTTCACCTCTTCTTTCCCCAACGAGGTCCATTGCCCCCTCCTCCAGGAAGCCTTCAGAGGCTATCCAGGTGGAAGCTGGCCACCTGCCCCTCAGACCCAGTAGAGTACTCATCTGGCTTTCACCGCCTCCCTGGTATGACTTTCCTGGAGGCAGCGACACTTCATTATCCAAATCTGGCCACTGAGTCCTCACTCCGACTCCATGAAATGGCCAGAAAGGACCTCCAGTCGGTCCAAAAAATTGCCCTTCGGGAGAAGTGGTTGTAGATGCTCATTCAGGTCCTGTATCTTCCTACTTTCACACAATTATGAGGATCTCAATCATCCGGTCCCCCAGCAGAAGGAAGACTTGAAATGTGAACTTCATCGAGGGAGGGTGACAGCACCAGTCAGGTACACTAACAGCACCAAGACGTGAGCAAGGACAGGAAGGCAGGAGGCGGGACAACGATGAGCCAGAGACAAAGATTCCCAACAGCCAGAGACCACGCGAGGGGGTCGCCACCGCCCAGCCCTTTCAAGGTGAGCACAGTGCGATAACACGGACTCAGAACAATAACCCTGGGCCGGCAGGAAGGGGTTACACCAGGTTCTGGTCTCTCCACTCAGGAGAAACCACGCACTACCTCTGAAGAGGAATTTTTCATCAAAATAGGTTAAAGTGCTTTTGTTTTAAAGAAGATACTTTTCAGGAGAAAAATCGAAAGGGTCTTTCAGGAAGAAAAAGACTTAACATTTATTATGTGCCAGGTACATGCTCCAGACCTTGTACCCTCTCTCAGATTTAAGCCACCTCAATGGGGAGGGTACAGCTCAGTGGTAGAGCACATGCTTAGCATGCACGAGGTCCTGGGTTCAATCCCCCGCACCTCCATAAAAAAATAAACAGATAAATACAACATCATTAATTACCTCCCCCACCTCCAAAAAAAAAGAGAAAGTCATATAGTTAAAACAATTAATAAACACTTAAAATAAATAATAATTTTTAAAAACTTAAGCCACCTCAGTCATCTTGAAATATCATATTACTGATCAGAAAACCAGCTTAGAATTACCATGACTCAGCAATTCCCGCTCTAGGTATACGCCCCAAAGAATGCAAAGCAAGGATGCAAACAGACATTTGTGCACCCAGGTTCATAGCAGCACTAGTCACAATCGCCAAAAGGTGGAAACAACCCGTGTCCAAGGAGCAGATTTTAAAATGTGATCTAGACACACAATGCAGTATCGTTCAGCCTTAAAGAGGAATGAAATTCTGACACATGCAACAACATGCATGGACCTTGAAGACGTTCTGTAAGGGGAAGAAGCCAGTCACAAAAAGACACCTACTGTATGGAAGACCCGCTTACACTGAGGTTCCTAGAGCAGCCAGATTCACGGAGACAAGAAGTAAAACGGGGGTTGCCAAGGGCTGGAGGGAGGCAGGGAGGTTAGTGTTTAGGGCAGGACAGAGTTTCCATTTGAGAAGAAGAAAAACCTCTGCAGCTGGATGGGGGTGACAGTTGCACAACCATGTCAATGTACTTAATGCCCCTAAGCTGTACACTTAAAGATGGTTAAAAGGGTAAACGTGACGTTACGTATATGTTACCACAATTTTTTAAAAAGGAAAGAAGGAAAGAGGGGAAAAAAAAACTGCAGCTCCTCTGACAGTGGAAATCACTGCCCAGATGGTGTGCAGTGAGGGCAGAACTCAAACACCACAGGCCAAATCCAGAGGCCGGGACCCCCTCCCTGCCCGGACCGCCCTAGAACTTCCTGCCCCTGCAGCTCACACCCTGGAAGACCTGCCCCAGCACAACAAAGGCCTCGCCACGCCCTCCTCCGGCCCCCCAGGGACTGACTCTCCAGCAAAGGGGAGTCCTCTGCCCTAAACCTCCCCCTTGCCTGCCGGGCCACACCCCGTCACCGTTGGTGTCCTGGTGACTGTGAAAGGTCTCGCTGAATTTTGACAGTAAATTGAAGGGGCTAGAGACTGGAGAGGCGCTGAAAAAATAGGAAGCAAAGGCTCACCTCCAACCACAGGGAACAGGGAACAGAGATCGTACCTCTAGTTCTAATATCTAGAACGGTACCTACCACGCGGCCCCATAAAGCTGAATGGCTGAGTGACAGGAGGGATGAATGAAGTTTTCCGCAGCGGGGGAAACCACAGAGCCAATTAAATTTGCTTACACAGAGCGATAGCTGTGATGGCGCCGGGAAAGGACCGCATCCTTTGTGCTGTTACCTCCCCCACTCCGCCCACATCAAGGCAGCCTCAGCCACCCAGCACCATTCTCAGTTCTCAGTTTTATCAGGTGCTCATCAGTGTTACGTCGGAAGCATCCAGAAAGCAAGGATGGAGTCCCCTGAAATCGAGTGCATGGACTGAAACCACATGTCACACCTGATGCCCCCAGCAACATGCCAAGCAGGACACGTGCGGGCCCGGGAGCCAGGTGACCAGGGTCTGAGTCCTCTGCCAGCCTCCTATTAGCTGGGTGGCCTTGGGCAAGTCACTTAACCTCTCTGTTCTGCAGTTTCCTTGTGGGAAGTGGGGGGCACGTCCCACCCTATCGATCTTGCAGAGAGAGGGGGAGGGGCCCAGGAGAGAGCCAGTCCTCGCCCTAGAGGGCCCGGGCCTGGTAGGCTAGAGAGGGTGCCAGATGAAGGACACTGGAGCAAAGAGGCTACAAGTTCTCACGTCATAGATCAAGCCAACTGTGACTGAGGGTCAGTGAACGAGTGGACTGGCCTTGAAGCAAAACCTTGGAGTCAAAACCACAGTGAGATATCACCTCACACCCCCCAGAGATGGCTGTAACCAAAACGATGGAAGAGAACAAGTGTTGACGAAGATGTGGAGAAACCGGGCTCCTCAGACACCACCGGCAGGAATGTAAAATGGTGCGGCCACTTTGGAAAACAGCTGGGCAGGTCCTCAAAAAGTTAAAGGCAGAGTTACCAGATGACCCAGCAATTCCTCTCCTGGATACATACCCAAGAGAAATAAAAACATACACTCACACAAAACCTTGTCTCAAAAGCCCCAAAGTAGAAATAACCTTCATGCCATCAACTGATCGATGGATAAGCAAGATGCAGTATATCCTACAACATAATATTTGGCCATAAAAAGGAATAAAGTAGCGATACATGTTACAACATGCATGCGCCTTGAAGACATTATGCTAAGAGAAAGAAATCCATCACAAGAGGCCATATATTGTATGATTCCATTTATATGAAATGTCCAAAATAGGCAAATTCATAGAGACAAAAGGTAGACTAGTATTTGCCACGGACTGGGAAAAGGCGGGTAAGTAGCTAATTGATATGGAGCTTTTTGGGGGCATAGTAAAAATGTTCTGAAATGAGATGGTAGCCGAGGGGAGGGTATAGCTCAGTGGTAGAGCATATGCTTAGCATGCACAAGGTCCTGGGTTCAATCCCCAGAACCTCTATATTAAAAAAAAGAAAAAGAAGTTAAATAAATAAATAATCGAATTACCTCCTCCCCCGCCTAGAAAAATAAATAATGAAATTGGATAGTAGCGATGGTCACACAGTTCTGCAAATACCCGAAAAAACACTGAATGTACACTGAAAGAGTGACTTTTATGGTAAATAAATTGTACACAATTTTTTAAAAAATTTTTAATGAGCAAGTATGGTTTGTGTAAGTCAATACACCCATGCATAAATAAATAAATCATGAAAGAATGAATGAATGGAACCTAAACTGGTAAGACTCTTGTTACGCAGCATGTTTTCTTGCTGGAAATCCTAAGAACAAGCAAGAACAGACTGTCTTTTGCAAATTGCCTTAAGGACAAAAAGAATGAGGAAAACCAGGGGCTGAGCCAACACACGAAGAGAGAGAATAATCAGGAAAAATAACATTTTCTGGTGCAGATGAAAAAGCCATCAGTCGCTAGAGGCCATCTTCCGCTGGCAAGGAGACAGTGGAAACGGAGGATCTGTGTCAGAGGCAGAAATGCTGTGCAGCACGTGGTTTCTGGACCCCCTGACACCCTTAGAACTGAGACCTAAAAGGTCAAATGCCCAGTCGCACAAGCCAAGGGGCCCAGAAAATACGGCGGCTGAGTGATTACTTTCCATCCCCGGACATAACAGAACCCATTTCTTTTTTGTTGATCAGCTCTTCCAGTTCGTCTTTAAGAAGCCTTTGCCGTTTGATGAAAATTCACATTTCCACACAAAGAGGGAAGAGAACACCTTCTTGGGTTATTTTCCGGAAAGCAAGCTTTCTTGGAGTTGAGTTTTTGCGCAGTGGGAAGGCTTCTCCCACCACGCGCAGCACGCGCCGGTGGTAGTGAGCTAAAACGCACGTAAGCATCGTGCAGACAGAAGTATGCACCGTGAGGGAAAGGGCACGGAGGCGGAGAAGCTCCTGGGGCTGGTTTCCCTGCTGCAAAATGAGAAGACTCAATAATCAACCTCTGAGTCCCAGACACAGCCCGACCTGGAGCTTGGCATCAGGTGTCGGACTACCATCCACTCTCCAGGAGCAAAGATTTTGGCATGGAAGCTTTACCTGCCCTTTGAGCCAACCATTAATTAAAAGCATCCTTTTCTGCACCATAAAGAGAGAAAATGAGCAGTTATTCTGAACCTCCCACTAAGCAGATGTCAAATTCAGCAAAGTGAATCTTCCTTTTCCAAAATAAGATAGAAAATATGTTTTCCTGGGCTAGGACGGGGCGGAGGGGACCTCTCCGATAAACAGAGCTGAATGTTTTCAGCAAGAAAGGAAATCCAGGTGATGGTGAGGATGTACCTCTGTAATGACAAAGAAAACGCACTTCAGAACCATGCTGAGCATTTTAACTGACTCTCAGCGAGAGAAGAATAAGAGAAGAGGTGAATCATGAAATGAGAGGTGATTGTGGAAGTCAATCAGCACAAAACGAAGTTGGCCCTGCAAACATCTCAGGATCCAGGCGTCATGATAAAAAGCTTTGCCGGTCAAGGTCCACCTCGCCTCTATACACCCTGATCAAGCCAGGCCACATCCATCACCAAATCCGTACAGCAACCCTGCTGGGCAAGAAAGAGTCACCCAGGCCTTTCTGACAATTGATAAAACCAAGACAGAGACGTGGGGCAACTTGCCTGAGCTAATACGAGCAGGGTCAAGACCAGAACGAAGGTCTCCTGATTCCCAGCTTGGAGAAGATGTGTTGTCGAGAAGCTGAGGCCTCAAATTCTTTCCGTTACACCTCATGCTTCTCCTTGGACAATCTCCATGAAGGAAAAAAACAATGCGTGGAGCAGCAACCCCAGCTCTGAGACACTGTTTGATCTTCTTCCCCGTCTCTGCTCCTCCTCAAAAAAAAATGCCCTCTGCCCGAGGTGTTTCCCCAGCCAGGCTCGGGAAGGACAGAGCCCGACTAACCTCTAAAGCCAGCCAGAGAAGCAGGGAAGGACGACAGCCAGGCAAGGGCACAGAGACTTCTGAAGCAGCCTGTGTGGCGGAACCCAGCTCAATCTGGCCGTGCGTGGAAAAGGTCTCCTGGGCCTCCCAGAAGAGAGATTAAGTTCAGTTGATGAACTCCTGGCATTAGTTACTCCCCTTGACTGCTCTCCAAATCCCCCCTGGGATGCAGAGGGAAATCTAGGTCATCAACCCGGGGCTTCTGTCGGGAGACCGGGGACACTCAGCATACCACCGTCTTGGTGAGCATCCTCCCCCTCTGCTGGGCACAGCCTCCTGCTTGGGGACAGAGGGCCACTATCTGATCACTTTCTTCCTCCACATTATGGAAAAATTACTTTTAAATAAAGGATTGAAAGGCAAGATAAAGCTTGAACACTAAAACTCTTTCTGTTTCTTGGAGAGGGCAGGTGGGCACAGCCTCTGGGATGTTTGGGAAGCACCTAGCATGATGCCAGGCACACAGCAGTGTTCGTGAGCACGCTCTGTAGTTGTTCAAAAGCAAACAGTGCTCACTATGCTGTGGTCTGAGAAGGTCATCAGCCCAGAGCCTGGGCTCAGCACCCCAGACCTAACACGTGCACGCTCCGTGGCTTCCGGTGTATCACGTGGCTTCTCCCGGCTCCCCATGCCTCGCGGGTTGCAAGAGGACACACCCATCTACCTTGAGGGTTGACAGAAGGTTTAGAAATGGTGTGTACGGGGCTTGTGTGGCACAGTCCTCAATAAATGGCATCCATCATCTGCTCCCTCCAAATCACCCCACTTTCTTCTGCCATCTCTCATGCAAGGACAGAATCATGCAGCAACCACAGCAACCCGCTGTGATTCCTTGTAGGTCGGTGGAGGGGTCCAGACAGCAGCTCCTAGCTCATTGCCTTTCAGAGCTCATCAGGGGACACGAGAACTCAACTTACAAGCCCCTTAAAGGAACAGTGACATGTCTCTGGGTTTACCTGGGCAGCCCTGGTTTTCGCTGTTGTCCTGGGACTACGATCAGCAGCACCTGTGTCACTCGCAAAAGTGCATCCAATTTGAGCAATAACTTAAATGCCCATCCTACACATCGGGCTGAAGCCCCACCTAACTGTGCAAAAATGACACTTGAAACACACCACCTCACGTGTACACATACACATATACATGGATCATATACAGCTGTCGTGAACTCCCTTAGAGTATCTCTACCCACTTGTCAGCTATAGAAATTGTAATTATGGAGGATTTTCGCTGGACTCTGTATTTCTTCATTTCAAATGTTTGGTAAAGAGCATGCACTATTTTAAAAAATTAAGAGCAAAAGCTATAAATCTACCAATTTTACTAAAAAAAGAAAAAGAAAAAAAAACCCACAACCACAGGAGAATATAGCTTAGTGGTAGACTGTGCTTGGCATGCACGAGGTCCTGGGTTCAATCCCCAGTACCTCTATCAAAAAAAATTAAAAAACAAAAGAACAAAACACACACCACCAATTCTGAGCCGAGCTGAGATACTCTGTCGAGTTTGCATTCAAAACTCTAAAGCAAAAATTGCATTTCCTCCAAAACGCTAAGTCTGGCCCCCCTCCGCTGGGCTCAAAGTTGCCCTCAAATTATCTGTCAGCCCCTCAGGGCACAGTTATCCGACTAAACTCTCTTCTTGCCTTAATTATGGATCTGTTCTGCTTGCTTTTTTATCTCCATAATTTGTGGAGCTAATGAACTAAGGCAAAAAATAAAATAAACAACTATAATAAAGAGTCCTGGTTAAACAGAAGAAGCATGAGGTACATACACTGAAGGAAAAACAGCCGCCTGTCCCTGCCAGAACTGGCCACCGATGGGTCAGGGACCAGCGCTGGCATCTCTGAGGGGTCCGATGTGGTCCTTTTCGTTTGACAAAAGAGGAACGCGTCCCTGGCCGCGCCCACCCAGAGAGAAGCGACCTGTCCCCTGCAGAACTCGCCTGCCACGCGTCTCTGAGCGTGAGGCCCTGGATGGCTAAATACTTCCTCAGCTCAAACACCCCCTGGGGAAGAATTTGTCACCCAGGCTGCCAAAGGAGTGACCCCAGGCCGTGCACGGGACGCTCGGTGAGCCGCAGGGCTGCGGGAAGGGAGATGTTTGTGCAGGAGTGCAAACCTCCTCGCAAGGACGCAGACGAATCCACCACCAGAAACGAGGGGTCCAGGCATTCAACAGCACGGTAACGACCTATTATAACATTTGCCCCCTTTGATGCCTTTTTTGGCTGAAAACTCGAATCTAGCAAGAGGTGCTGAATGGATGAGCGGCTTCCTGGTGGCGTGGCTTTGCATCTGTGCGGTCAAGTGTGTTGTCGAAAAATTTAAGCTCCAAATGCTCCAGGGGTTATTTGGAGGAGGAAAAAGAGTAAAAAGGAGAATTTTTATTTTTTGTTTTTGGTATAAGAAGCCGCCTTAAAGGGCTTCTCATAGACGGTTGTGTTTCCTGCTGTGTTCAAAACAGGAACTCTATTACATGAGCTTGAAAATGAAAGGAAGCCTCAGCTTTCTTCCTGATTCCCCACAAGTGGCAGTGAAGAGAGATAACCCAGCTGGCATCAGCTGGCATCTGACAGCATCCTTAGATCAGAAGAGATGAACAGGAGATAGATAGATTGATAGATAGATAGGCAGACAGATGGATCAGATAGATGATATAGATTTATATAAATAACAGCTAGGGATACAGACTAGACATATAAGATAGATGATAGATTTTTTTTAGATATAGATGATAGATTAGAGAGGTAATTGAGATACAGATTAGATGGATAGATTATAGATTAGACAGGTAGACAGATCAGCTGATCAACTGATTCACACATGTGCCAAACGTGTCACAATCATCATTTTTAAACAGTATAGCAATCTCACTTACTTTGCCAGTAACACTAAGAAACAGCAATCTACTGTCTCCGCCTCATAGACATAGAAATTACCATCTAGAAGTATCTTAGATGATCACGTCCAAACAGAAAGTGCTGCCAAGGGAAATTAAACTTAGGTCTTCCGATGGTCGGAGCTCTCCCATCCCTGTCCTATGCTGTCCCTTGCAATCTCATCCCCTGAAACAAGCTCCAGTTAATTTCACCCAGCTGTTGGGGGGGAGGGAAAGAGAGGAAGAGAGAGAGAGAGAGAGGCTGGGACCGAAGACCTGAATGGGATCTGAATGGTTGCCTTAAAAGTCTATGATTCTATGTTATTACCAGGCTCTTTTGATTTTTCCCTCATGGGCTCCCCACAAGGAGGGATTCCAGTTCTGACCTATGATTAGAGGGAGATTAGGTCATAAACACTATTGATTCAACCTAAAGACAGTAGGGTTTTCTCAGGGAAACCAGCACAGCAGGTGGCCCACAGGGCTGGGCACGGCAGTCCACATCCCAGCCCCACTCTGCCTTCGGCACCCCCTCTCGTCCCGCCCCCCAGCCCCATCCTGCTCATCACCTGTCACCCCACTGACTCCAAGTCCTAACCAGTGCCCTTCCAGGACACCAAGGACAGCAACCCAAGGAGGAGGCCCTTTGCAGCGATGTGAGCTCAGCCGCATCCTGTTTCCTAAGCTTCTGGAGAGTACCTGGCTAAGGAACCCACCCACCCCAGGTCATAACAGTGTTATCTCCCTCCCTTTGCAAAGAGGTCAGGATATAGCAGGCACCTGAGGGCAGCAGGCACCTCTAGCTTTGAGAAAACCTCAGCAGACATTCATTCAGTTTCCACAGAAGTCCAACCGCTGGAATAGGTACCTAGTGGCTCTTAACCCTGGCCACCCACTGGAAGCTTTACAACTACCGATGCCCAGGCCCCCTAGAGCAGTCAAATCAGAAGTTCTGGTCTCTGTACTTAGTGAAAACTCCCCAGGGGACTCTAGTGTGCAGTGGAGGTTTGTAACTACAGCCCTGGCTCATTTGCAAAATTCCCTTCACAGGACAGTCAGCCTTGGCCACAGAGACCCCGCCCCGCCCCGGCCGCATCCTCCCTATCATTAGGGGAACAATTTAGTCACATTCAAAGAGAGCTGGCTCCCATATGGGTTAACCAGAAAGAACTCTAATTTCTCCTCACTGCCGTTCCCCTCGGTCATTACCACGGCAGTTAAGACAGACGAAGGCAAGCCATTCGGGTAAATGGCTTCACCTAAAAACAGCAGCCCGGTCAGAAGCAGAGCCCTCAAAGCTGAGGGAAATCAATAATCATTTCCCGAGAAGAAACAGAGAGGTCTTCTCAAAGAGGAAAAAAGTGGGGCAAAGCAGGGGAAGGGCCCCAGCTGGTGATCCGGGACCAGAGCTACGGACGTAAGTAGGTGGAAACTCTGGTTCCCTTGGCCAACCGCTCCCTAAGACAGCCACTGACCCTTTAAAACACTGTGTACCACTCATTGTTTAAAGAAGGGCAGAGCCTTCACCTATTAGGAAGAGGCACTCTCACGAAATGCACAGCAAACCGACGCCAGTCTAGGCGGGGAAATGAAACGGGTGCTCCGATCCAGTTCCCGTCTAGAACAGAAGGAGGGATCTTAAACAAAACCACTGCAAACTTACAGTGCGGTCAGGAGTTTTCCCAAGTGACTAAATGGGTATGTGCCTTCTTCCTAAACACCCTTTCCCCCTGCAACTCCGCTCAGAAGCTGTGCAGGGACCAGCCCCGTTGCCAGGCTTCGGAGGGAAGGTGAACAATGAGGGGAGGTGGCGATGGAAGAGGGGGTTTCCAGCTGGGCTTCCCCAAGCCCTCGGGTCCCCCAGAGGCAGGGGGGCTGCCAAGAAGGGGGGGACAGGGAGCCAGGGGCAAGGACCTGGGCTCTCCCACAGCCCATTTCAGCCAGAGCAGCCCTGCTCTCATCAGTCTTACCTGCCAGGTGGGGGGGGGGTCCCAGGTAAGATTCCACATAAGAGAGTGGCCCCAGGACAACGATGCTAAAGATCCCAGGAGTAGAAGGAGCAGTGGGGTCAAGGTTTTGGTCCAGACTCATTCGGCTGTTCCCCAGGCAGCTTCCATGTGTGCTGGCCATAGAATAATGGATGGGGCGAGCCCACATGCTTGGCACTTCTCTGCCCAGCTCACTCAGCCGGCACAAGGCACACGGGCATCCCCGGACCCAGGTGCGTCATGTGGGCTCCTATCGAGCCATGAGCGAAGCTGAGCACGTGGAGCCTGGCCCTCACATCCAGAGGCTAGAAAGACCTTGCTGAGGCCCCACATGTCCATGTCCCCCACCACCACTCCAGGCTCTCACTGTCACATTGGGCCATAGGACTGATAGGACATTCCCAACAGTCTGAGCATCCCGCTCCACGGAAAGTCAGAGAAGAGGCTCCGGGAACATCCACCACAGAGACTCTCCATGTTCTGGGTACAGCACCCACAGGCAGTCAGAACGGGATCACAGAGGATGCAGGCACCTTCTTAAGAGATGGAGGCCACGCCCTCTGTGGGCAGGATTGATGCCCAAAGCCAGTTCTCAGGGCCAGGAGCCAGGCAAGAAACCCTGAGTAGATTAGGATAACTGCCACAGTGAACATGATAAAGGAACTAGGAACCTGCTTCTGGAAGGTTCTAGCAGACCCTAAACTCCACGGGGCTATGAGGCTGACTGGTCGATCCAACGCAATGGCCTCCCGCGTGAGAAAAGCATCTAGTGAAGTGTGTGCTGGCCCTGCAGGAGGAGCTGTGCGACCCCTCAGGACGCCTCACCTGCCTCACTCCCTTCCTGCCTTCTGCTCAGCACCAGGGAGTGGACAGATTCTTCCAGTCCAGCCATTCGTGGCTGAGATTCACAGGGCGACACCTGAGCAGGCCGTCCTGTGCTGTCCGCTTGCAGGAAGCACCCCCACCTCGTGTCCACAGGCGAAATGTGCGCCCTCGCCCACATGGGGCCGGGGAGACGCCAGGAGGCGCAGACAGACAGCGCCCACAGCGCCAGCCCATCGGATAATGTGGCCTTCTAATCGCCAAGCCACAGGCAGATTCTGTGGCGGCCACTTCGGTCCTGGACTTGGAGGCGTTCGTCTGATGTGGTTGGGCTCTTCTGTAAACACTTTCTAAGCTGAGCCAAATGACTGATGCGAAGGGAATCATCAAAGTATCGATTACAGACACATTCCCACTACAGTGTGAGTGTGTGTTCACACGTGTGGACCCGTCAGAGGCAGGGCGCAAACCCAAATGCCACATGGATGAAGAAATGACAAGCAGTGGATGTGCCACAGGGACACGCCGAGCCACGTCCCCCAGGAAGGCCGGGCCAGCAGGGCCGTGGGAAGCCACCCCGCCTGGATCTCAGGCCTCCTGTCTCCATGCACATGGCTCTCCGGGAAGAGCTGGACCAGCCCAAGAGGTTTTGAAAATGACTGCTGAGCCCACTGTGGTGCTCAGGGACCACCCTGTGTGCTCAGAGAGCAAACAAACTCCCGCCCAGGAGGACCAGCATCAGGGCCACTCTCTCCACCTCCTTCCAGAAGACAGAGGGCGCCACCCCCATCCATGATCTCAGGCTGACGCTCAGACTCCAGGCTCCCCCGGCCTATCCCCCTTCCCCCAAATGCTACAACAGCAGGCTGGACCACAGCCACGGGGGGCTGGGGCGGCAGAAACAGAGGTTCTGTCTGAAGAGATAGCTGCTTGTGGGGAGGGTATAGCTCAAGGGTAGAGCACGTGCTCAGTATGCACAAGGTCCTGGGTTCAATCCCCAGTACCTCCATTAAAATAAATAAAGAAACAAACCTAATTATCTCCTCTGCCCAAGAAAAATAAAATTTAATTAAAAAAATTTTTTTAAAAAGACAGCTGCTTCCATGAAAATGAATGCAGTTAAACATCAGACTTGCAAACCCTCCTCCCCTCCCCAAGATTCTCAGTCCTCTGGCATCTCACTCAGATGAAGCAGGAAACCAAGTTCTATTAGTGCTCAAACTCATTCATCCATTTCATTCATTCATTCATTCATTCACTCCACTGTAAGGCCTTACTGGAGTGCCTCCGAAGTGAGATGCGGCTGGGTGGGTGGGGAACATGAAGACAGAAGAGGCAGAGGAGCCTTGATCAAACTGTAGCACAGGATGAAGGTTCTAAGGACCAAGGCATTAAAAAACCAATGTTGGCCAAGGCGCACAGAATAAGCAGTACATTAAAACTGGGAAGCGAGGCAGGGGGCTTCAGGATGGAAGTAACACCTAACCTGGGCCTCAAAGGGTAATGAAATTTCCCAGAGGCAGAGAAAGGGGAAAGGGAATCCCTGGCTGAGGTGCCTGACAACGGGAGTCCCGGCTGGGGCAGCGGGACTGTGCTCTGCCACTTAGGGTGCCTTCTCTGAGCCAGAGAGAGCCTCTGAGGGCTTCAGAGGAAGAACATAGCACCATCAGTCTGGAGGAAGAGCCCGGGCTGCAAGGAGACATGCAGGCTGCAGACACGGGAGACCGGGGCAGGGAGACCCTCAGAAAGCTGGGGCAGAACTCCAGCAGAGACGACAAAGGTCCAGGTCAGTAAAGGAAGAGATAACACGCCAGAGAGAATGCAGGGACAGAATTAACCTGATTCAGCACAGGGTGACCCCACGGGTTCAAGCCAGCGTGACCAAGAGGGCAACCCTCTCCAGGGTTGGGCACCGGGGGAGAAACAGGAGGTCAGGGAAGAGGGTGAGTCTGGCTGGGGATAGCTGGATGCAGGAGCTGGGCACCTCTGGGGAACCACATCTAGAAGGGAAGTGACAATTTCAGAGTTCAGGAGAGAGGGCACCTTCTAGCTCTGAAGCCACCTTCTGTCCTCACCTGTCTGTGCTCAAGCCCCGTCCTGAACTCTGCTGTACGGAAGAAGCCCCCTTGTGTGTGGTGCTGGGGGCTCCCCGCCCCCCAGGGAAAGCCCTGAGTTCAGGTCAGCAGGACAACACTCAGGCTCCCCTCTCTGAGCACGGGCTTCGATCCTGAGAGACTTAGAGCCTGCAGTTCTGGCACGGACCCCGGGGATCCAGGCTTTCCAACAGCTCGCCAAGCGCATTTGACAATCACCAGATTCAAGCACAGATTCACGGGTCCCATCAGCAGACTCTCCACTTCAAGGGGCTGGGTGGGGCCCAGGAGCTGAATGTTTTAAGAGGCACCACCAGTTACCCTAGGGGACCCAGTCGACCAACCATGCTTGGAGAACCCCTGCTCCCAGCAAAGGTTCAGGTCAGACTCTCCTGAAGCTGTAGCCCCTTTTCTCTGGCTCTGTTGAGAGAGCAGAGCTCTGGGGAGCAGGGGGAGCAGGTCTCTGCAGAGATGGGAGGTTGCGGGCACCTAACGTGGGACAGAATGATAATCACCACCATGCCCGAGTGACAACTGCGGACCCGGTACTGTTTTGAAGCCTCCACGGTCCATCTTTGCAACAACATTTGGCAAATGAGGCGACTGAGGCTTAAAGCAAAGTCGCACAGCTGGCAGGGGATGGCGCCACAGTCACAGGTGCGCATTCCACACCTGCCACCTGCACTGAGGAACCTGCCTTTCCCTCTGGCCTCAGTCTTCCCCGCTATAAAATGGAAGTAACTGTTCCCACCTGCTTCCTGGAGATTGTGGGGTCTTAGCAGCTCTGATGATCTTAAAGCCCCAGGAGTGGGGTGCCAGCTGTGCTTTCCCCAAGCAGCACGCTGGCCACCTCTGTGACCCCAGGCCAGTCTGGATGCCGTCTACAGGGCAAGTCTAGAGCCACTGCCCAGACTTGACTGGTCGGAAAGGGAAAAGGACGTTGCCCCTGCCCCGCACTGAGGGCCCCGTATACAGAGATCTCATTGTCCAGCTCTCAATGAGAGGCTCTGTCTGATGGCAATAATATTATTTTCTGCTGCTGACGTATCACCTCCATTTCTAAACTGGGAATATTCAACTGCATTTTCCACTGCAGGCAGTGCCCTTTGAGACAGAAATAGTGGTTCCAAGTCCCGTGAGCCTGGAAACCCACAGCAAGGGGCAGGTGAGGACCTATCAGCAGGTTCAGGGGACACAGAGAAACTCTGAAAGATGGAAGGAAGGAGATGCAGGCAGTGTGGTACCCATTTACTTCAACGGCTTGTTCCTACAAGTTTTCACTTGAATCTCTTCAAAGTGCCTGAAGTATTTCGTTCTGGCCTCAATATTCATTAAAGAAGCTACAATCGCATAGAAAGAGCAGGTCATAGGTAGCAACGAAGTCCCAGTAAGCTGGCTATTCCTCTTTGCAAGGCTCCCTCTGGAAAGCCTGCTCCAGTCACCCATTCGTTTGAAGTAATGCAGACTGCATGACCGGCAAGCAGGAAAAAGTAATTCCAATTTCCTCATCTTGTATCATTACCACCCATCTCCTGACGGAAGGGCAGGCTGGTAGCAATTGTATACAGGTCGGTGACCATGGCTGGGCACTAGCAAGAGTGGTTAATAGTCTTCTCAGGATATAAAAACAGTGGAGTTTGGGGGTGACAACCCTGATCACATCCCCATCACCACCTCCGATCACTTCCGTTCTTTGGGGTTTGCTCAGGAAATCCCTCTACTCCTTGACTGCGTCACAGACTCTGCATTAAAATACACTTGCATTCCGCTCAACTGAGCAGGGCAGGCGGTCTGAGTTCTCCCTCCTCCTTCGTTCCAATTTGCCATAAGGGCCATCTGCTGCCTATTCTGGGGCCCTGGGCCAAGTGCATGACTCGTGAAAATGTGACTCGTCCCTGCACAGAAGGCTCCCATGTAGAAGGAAGGGAAAGAAGCCCACAGCCACCGAGAAAGAAGGCAGGAAAGAAAGTCAGGGCATCCACAGGAAGGGATGGGACCACGTGGCGAAAGTGTTGGGGGGAGGGAAGGCAGAGAGGGACAAGGAGGGAGGGCCACCAAATGGGTCACGTGTGAGGCGTGAAGAGACACATTCAGGAGTGCAGGCTGGGGTCTTTCAAGTAAGGCGGAGGGAAAGCAAAGTTTTGGTGTGTCTGCAGAGTGAAGTACATTTGATTAGAGGCAAACTGTCTCTGAGCTCAGCGAGTCCACCAAATGTATGGGCAGAAAAGGACCCCTAGGGGCATCCAGTGCAAATCTTTCACTGTGCAGACGAGCAGCCTAGAGAAGCGAGGTGACTTGCCCAAGGTCACACAGTGAGTTGGTACTGAAGGGAAGGGAGATCAGACCCCCAGACTCCCAGTTGGGGGTATTTCTGCCTCGGGGGGCTGTCACTCAGCCCAATGACAGACGCCACTGATCCCTCCCTTGGGGAATATTATTTGTGACTTATTAACATTCCACAACTAAGGCACAAGCCTAAGAGCCCCGCAGGGACTCCAAACTGAGACAGATGATAACCCTGACATGGTCTTCCTGGCTGACACCCAAGCAGTCTGCGCTTCTCCAGGCTCCAGTGTGGCTCCGCGCCGGCCCTGGAGGAGGGTGCCCACTGGTGCCGCTGAGTCCTGACAGACACCACTGACAAAAGAGCAGGGGAGGACACGGGCCAGGGTCCCAAGGTGAGTGCAGACGCAGTCCTGCCCCCATCCCCGAGGATGGCACCCATTGGGTTAGAAGGTAACACAAAAAGTGTTTCGTGCTTCATGAAAGAGGCAGTAAGGCTCCAACGTGGAGGCTCTTTCTGGTCAGGGATGACATTCCCGAAGACTAGGAAAAACATAAGAAGGTAGGCGTGGGATTTAAAATCTAGAAGAAGGGGACGGTATAGCTCAGGTAGTAGAGTGTGTGCTTAGCATGCACGAGGTCCTGGGTTCAACCCCTGGCACCTCCACCAAAAATAAATAAACAAACAAACAAACAAACAAACAAAATTCCCTCCCTCCCCCTGCAAGAAAAAATTTTTTTTAATAAAATAAAATCTAAAAGAGCTCAGACCAGACGGGAATGGCAATGCTCTTCTGGGTGGAAGGGCAGATAAGACGAGGCTCAGAAACAGACCCTGAAATTCCAGGTAAAAAAGAGAAAAAGCATCACTTTGAAAAATAATCAATAAGATAGGCTTTTCTAAAGCATAAACAGCTGAGTTCTTTCCATTTTGACCCTCTTGTGATCTCAACTATAAGAGTATATCTTGAATTTCACTGTTGGATAAAATCTTAAAAAAAAAAATGTGTTTGTGATGGGCCACTGTGCAGCTTGTCAGGCTCCTCAAAATCAAAATGATATCCATCCAAGCGACCATCAGCAGGCATGCTAGAAACTGACCATTCACAAACAGACTCTCCACATCGGTTAGGAAGCAGACTTTCGATTTGGCTGACTGAAAAGCATAAATGGTTCGGAGCGGTATATAAGGCACACCCAGCTGTTTGTGGCGGCAGTTTTCATACCTAAACAACAATCCGTGGGTCCCTTTCCAAGTAGGACTGCCCAATTCCATTTATATCAAGCCAGGCCAGGAGGTAAGCCCTCCATTTGATTTTCTTATCAGTGAAACTGAAGCTCCTGGTTCAACGGTTCATCTGCTGTACCCCATCCTCATTCCAAGAAGAGACCCCCCCCCCTCAGGAAGGCTTTAAAAGCCAAAAATCAAATACTTATGAGCAAAGGCTCAAAACTGAAAACCTGGAAGATTACTCCAAATGCTGTATTTTCCAAATGACCACAATCAAATCACATTTGCGAGTTAAGGAAGACAAAAGTTCTGGAGCAGAGAAGGCAAGAAGCCACTTTTTCGCCCTTCCAAATTCTCTAGAAGCATGTTTTCAAGTTAACTGGTGACCTCAGAGTTGGACAGAGAATGAGAGTGAGGGAACAAGAAAGACTAAGGCTAGCCGACCCCACCCCACCCCCTTCCACTTCTCAGGTCAGTAACCTTTAGAAGGGAAGACTCAAACAACACAGCCTCATTTTCAAACAATAATGGTGCCCATTATTATTATTTCTTTGGATTCTTACTGATCATGGTGGTTCCCCCAGCCAGGGCTGCCTTGGTGCCTTGAAAGAAGTCATCAGCGGAGGTCATCCCCTGGTCAGGCATCTGGAAGCGGGTGTGGACGTCAATTCCTCCAGGAATCACCATTCTGGAATGGGCTTCGATGGTCTTCACCCCTCCTGGCACAATCAGATTCTCTCCTATTTGCCTAAATAAACAGGGTGGGCGAGAACAGTTGTCAATGAAATGTCCCCAAATCGAATGGGATCTGAAAGACATTTTCACCAAGCCTTAAACTATCCTTCACGACATTCCAAAGACTGTGCAGATTTATTGTATTGTTTGTAATGTGTGCACTCCCTACCCCCAAGAGGCAATGCAGAGCATACCAGAAAACAAAACTTAAATAAGGCATCAGAGGCTCTGATCAAAGACATTTAGTTACCAGAAAACCCCTATGATCAAATGATAACAAAGTCCCAAGATAGTTACATAAAATACCACTACATTTTCTCTGTAACACACTCAGTTGAGCCAATTATCCTATAGCCATGTTCTTCAGATCAGGTTGCACTTTACAAACATTGATTTTCACCATATCCTTTCCAACAAAGAGAAAATAGGGGTAGAAGGGCAGAGGGCAGAAAAAAACAGAGCAAAAACTATTAAGTGAACACTGGAATTGGAACTACTTAAAAATGTGGAATCATGTGATCAGCAACTCAGATAAAAAAGGCAGAAAAAATAATATTCATGATGTTGGGGGATATGGATTCATTTCCAATTTTTAAAAAATATCTTTGCTACATCTTTATGCCAGTTTTTTGAAAAGGAAAGGAGGAGCTGGTAAAGTTCTAAAACAAATTAGTGATGACTAAAAATAGCACACTGTCTTGTTCACTTCCAGGCTAGAGTCTTCCAGACCAGATCATGCTGCTTTCCAGTTGGGGGAACATGGAACATGAAAGTCATGGTATTTGAGAGCCTGGAGCTGAGACTGTCACCAGCAAACACACATGGAGAAAACATTAAATGTGGAAATGTTAAAACCTGTTTTAGGTTCATAAATCAGGGTGTGAGTTTCCAGGCAACAGACACATCACTACAATTTTCCCCTCCTCTGGACTGGATTACTGCTAGCACTTGATAAATGCTGCTTATTTAAAAGATGTCATTCGCTGCAGTGTTTGTCTTTAAACAGATGTGCTATTTCTCCAGAGCCCTGTGAGTCGTCCCAGTCGGAAGGGCACGAGGATACTGGGATGGCCTCAGCTCACTTAACCCTCCAGGGTCCAAAAATACCCTAATTCAGTAAGGGCTCTGTTGTTTTCTCCTTTGCCACACAATACACAATAAACACAAGGGCAGTCCTATTTGTGGTAGTTGCCACTTAAGGAATGAAACCTAAAATTCCCTTGGGACAAGGCAGTGATTTGTCTCTGTTACTTAGTAATTAATTTGGTGTCCTTTGGCCCCAATGACTTGGATTCTTGATTAAGAAAGCAGATGTACTGTCACAAAAGAAGAGGCTGTACTTCACGTTTGTGTCCTTTGAATGGGCAATCCACCCCACACAACTATATTCTAGGAAAACCTTTCGTATATTCAATAGCTCATAAACAAAGTAATTGAGCTGGCAACAAGATGTTGTGTCACCGCAGTTAAAAATAGTCAATTACATAACACAGAAGGAAATGCGTGGGCATTTAAATCATGGCTTTGAATTCCGTAAACCTGAGTTTTCAAATTCACTAATTATCCCCAATCAAACTGGGCTTAAATAGATACTTAGTGAGTCTCCCTTTGAAGTCACTAAAGCTTGGTACTTTGTGTGTGAATTGTAGGTAATGCTTAGGAACACTTTCAGGTACACACATTTGTCTAGAAAATGAGTTACACTTACTTGATCAACCCATCTTCCATGTATATGTCTGCATAGAATGACTGGTCGTCATTAACAATTTTACCTCCTTTGATCAGAAGACGATCACTCTGAAACAAAGAAGTAGTAAGGTCACAATGTACACCTGACCCATGAGAAACGCTGGTACTAAGATAAATGAACTAAGGCTACACGTTCACCATTCAAAAGTGATGCTCAAAATGAGCCAGTTTGGGAAAGATTCAATGACAAAGATGAACCTGTATGTGGCTACCTATTCATCATTTGATGAATCAGGACATACTGGCCAAGTTCAAAGCTTATCCTAGCTTAAAAAAGAAAAGAAAAGAAAAAACTCTTTCCATTAGATCTTTCCATTAGCGAAACAGAGAAAGAATGGAAAAAAAGCCTAACAATCTTCCTCTAAAGAACAATGAAAACATTTCAGATAAAGAAGACAATAGTTTTAACTGGCTTTAGGCTTAACTTCATTAAAAAAAAAAAAATACACCCACATGTAAGGGAAGTCAATTCTTGGCGAGGTTTGTGTTGGAGAAAATTAACCAAAAGTCTGTTGTCATGGGATATGCTACACAAACACACTTGGTTCAACTATAGCAAGGTTTCGATTCAGAATGTTTTTTATATGTGCATTCATCTTTGAGGTAAATCACAGCCACTGTAGAAGAGAGGGGGAAAAACACTTGGAATATGCACCATTTCAACTATTAAGCTGTTAAGAAAAAGGTAAAGTTTTAGAGGAAAGTAGGTGACAGGGCAAGTTCTAAAATCAATGTAGTTATATTTTAAATGGTGCAAAAAATATATATATGTGACAAGCATAAGGGCCAAGAATGTAACAGAAATGTTACACTGTGATTCATATCTATCTCAAATGCTGTTGATGGAATGGCATGTTAAAATCCTCTGTTCAATGGATATGCACACATAGTATTCCAGACTGGTTTTAACTAATTGCCCTTTGAACATGCAAAGCACTTCAAAGAAAGGCATTCATTTTGATAATGGTTAACTCAAAATTCAGTTACAAAATAATATTCTCAGGAAGTGTTATATTTAGCAACTACCAAGAAGAGAAAATTATAGCAACTCTTTTAAAAAATGCAGAAGCTACTAGAGACCTAGAGGAAAAGAGGCTTTTAGGCATAAATGCACACACATCTAGGATTCGAAGGTATTTATTACTGTTCCTCTACCAATGAAAAACAATAAGCTTATTTTAATTGTGTGCACTGTGGGGGCCATCATTCTGCTGTAGACTTTGGAAAGTCAAATAGGAATAGTCAGCAACACTTCCTGCACTTATATAAGGTAAATGTAAAAATCTTTACAAAATCCTGTTCTATAAGCCATGTCACCCAAGCCTCAAATCAAATCTGGGAGGCAGATGGAGCTAGATTTTGTTCCCAAAACATATACAGAAACTGAGGCTCAGAGAGGTTAATCCACCGGCCCAAGGTCACCTAATTCCAGTGCACTCATCTCCGTCTACAGAGATCTCCCTCTCTTCCCCAGACTCCATCTTTGACAGGATAAACATTGCCTGGGAGGCACGGAGAAACCCTGCCCTTCGCCACCTGCTCCCTTAGTCACGGTGGTACCTGTTCCAGCCATCACTCCGAACTCCAGAGCCAACATCAGGTGGTGAAAAATATCAAACATCACAGCCCTGCTCACTCAAGTGGCTTCTTACATAAGAGGCTGGCGGTGCTGATGGAGGGAGGGAAACCATGCTAAAGGTCCTACCCTAACGCAACCAGATTTTTTTTAAAGTGTATAGGGGGGCGCTCTTGTAAAAAAAAAATCAGTCTTGTTGATTGTTTGCTTTTCAAATTTTTTTCTCCCTACACTGTCAAAACGAAACTGCCTTTTTCATTCACTGAGACAGCAGATTACTGTAGGCGTGCAGCAAATCTGTTCCCCACCCCTACTCCCCAGATTCCTTCCTCCGGTGCAAGGAATACATAGCATTCGGGTCCCCCTCGCGCTCGGCCCTTTGGGATCTTGGGTATTTGGCCTTCAAGAAAAAACTAGTACCCACCACCCTCGCTGTAGAACAGCTCATCCCTTAAAATCCTCCTGAGCACACGCCCCCTCCCCTGTGCATTTGGTCCCACATCTCTCTCCTGCCGATGGGTGTGCCCTTGTGCATCCAGTGGAAGGCGGGGTGCCGGTGGCTAACGAGGAAACCAGAGCGAAAGCGCGCCCTTAATCCCAGCTCTGAACACATCTTGACTTTTCAAAGATTCTTTCGGTCACTGCCTCAGCCCTGGGTTCTACCCAGCAATCAGCTGGCCAATTGCAATTGCACATCATTATATAACAATGAATCTCCCTCGCGTTCCTCCCTCCCCGGGATTTCATTCGGGGATGGAGAGAACTAGGATTGGCGAGATTTTTCCAGGAAAAGATGGGGAGAAGGTGGGGGCGGGGGAGGAACGGGAACAAGAACCTGTGCTCGTCGCCGAAGCATCGCAAAGTCATCGCTTAGAGCTTCTCGTGATTTTCAAACTAACAACCACCGGCCTCAGAGCTGCGCCGACGCCTCCGGCCGCTGCGATCATTGTCTGGCCGAGGCCGGGCCATCTGCTCCGCGCGTCGCGCAGCGCCATTACCTCCCCGAGCCCGGCTCGGCGCTGTCCCCAACGCCCACCCTCCCAGCCCGCTTTGTATGCGCCAACACGGACGCCTCCTGGCTGCAGAAGGGGCAGAAAGACACAAGAAAGCGAGCCCAGAGCCCAACCAGGATCCCAGCCCCAAACCATTGGGCGAGAAAGCCGAGAGGGCCACCAAAAACCGGTCCCGGTCAACAAAAAACCCACGCCTGCACCTCACCCCCACCGCGCTTCCCCCGCTCCTCTGCTCATCACCACGTCCCTGTTTTTCTTTCCCGTTTCCACAGGATCCCGGTACACCCTGCCCTTTTCAGCATCCATCGGCTGTCATGATGCCTCCGGGCTGAAACCCGCTCCTTTTTCTAAGGAGCCAGAGGAAGGCTCCAGAAAGCCCTTTATGGTGAGGGGGCGGGAGACACAAGGAGAATCCATTTCCCCGTCTCCCCATCCAGCTCCTGGAGTCCAGCTCCACAACAGGCAGCCCGGAGAACAATATCTGAGCTTCAACCATGCATATTCAATCTGGCATCCATTTGCTTACACCCCGCAGGCCAGCACTGCAGCATCTCGCTCTGACAATAAAACGTACAGCGGCTCTGGCGCGCTACCTAAAACGACCTTAACGCACTCACGCTCCTATTTTTAATGCCTTAGAAACTCTGTGGTTTACAATTCTATAGGAGTGCGTCTCCCACCACCACTATCGCCTTCTTTGGTAGAAACGGGGGAAAAAAGAGGGAAAAAAGTTGGGTCTCTCTTCCTCCCCCTCCTTTAAAAAATTTCCTTAGACGTTCTCTGCCACAAAAGGTTGCTGGCCGATCGAAGATTTCCCAAGTACCAAACTCACCGTGATGCGTGGAATATTTTTCTTCCCCTGATAAGACATCTCTCTCCTGGGAAAAAAATTAATTTCAAGAGGGCAGCTTTAAAATAAAAATTGCCAGGAAAGAGACTTGGTATTTTTTGCAGGATTGAAAAATGTGCAGCCGCTTAGCTGATCTTGCTGATAGCAGATTTCAGGAACGTAAGAGATAAATGCAATCCTGTCTCTCTTCCTCTCCTCCAACACTGCCCCAGCTAGGGCGGAAAAAAAGAAAGAGAGAGACAGAACAGGAGGGAAGGGGGTGGAAATAAACTACAGCAATAAAAGCCTCGGTTCAAGTCAGCCACCGCGGCGCATGCGTCGCCAGCCACTCCCTTTCCTCTCAGGCCAAAGCCATCCGCTTCGAGAGAGGCGAGTCCTGATTGGTCACAATCGTGGGATATGCAAATGAGCGCAGGCGGGGAGGGGAGCGGCGCGAGAGCGCGAATTGCTGCAGTGTGCGGCGGAGGGCGGCGGTCGGTGCGT